ATTCAGCAGTGATATGACAGGCGCCCTATGAATTCTGGGAGATTTTAATAAAGAAGACAGGCCTGTGAAATTTAATAAAAGAGTTCATCAGATTATATGGTGATGGCTCGGTGCCACCGTGCTGGCAGTAATATCCTCGCAGTGGGGGGGTTAACCCCTTGAGGGACAGAGCAGCAGCACAGTATTAAATCTTTCAGTAGCATTTCACTCGTGTCACTTTAATATTTATGAATCTCTCCGGCTTTGGGAACCTCTTTGGTGTTGTTTTGCTTTTTTGTTTTTGTTTTTGTTTTGTTTTGCTTCTGGTTCGGATCTTTTTCCAGCATCGGTTTCCCATCTCTGACATGAACAGAACCAAGCCCCGGGAGCAGGGCTCCTAACACCTCTTGGCTCCTGGATGGATGCTGGGTGCACTCACAGGGTCGGGACAAGCCAGACCACACCTGTGAGATGCTGTGGACTGGTTGCTTTTCATCACCAACATCCCCAAATCCTTCCATTCGCTGTGGCCTTGACCTCATCCTTCCAAATTGTGTTCCCAGCGATGGATGGCGAGGGTCAGGTTTGAGTGTGCCTTGCACAAAGTGCCCTTCTGGGGGTAAATCTACTCACCTAGCCCACAAAGAGCTTTGGAGGTAGCCGAGGGCAGCTTGTGGTCCCCCAATTCCCCCTCTCTCTGCCCCAAATGTTGCTGCAAGGAGCCAGAGATTCAGCACAAGGAAATTTTTTTCCCCACCGTGCCCCCGGTGCCACTCTGTATGGCCGAGCCAGGGGACGTGGCTGGTGCAGGAGGGAATGAAAGAGCATATTGTGCTGTCATTGCCTCCTTGTTTCCCCTGTGTGTCCCCGTCCCCGTCACGCCCCCAAGCCCCCAGCCCCAGCCCGAAATCTGGCCTGCGGCTTTGCAAGCTCCACTTCAATATTTCAGCCAGCTACAATGGATTTTGCAGCTCAGTGTTAAGTAAACAGACCTTGCTTAAGCCTGGACTGCTTCATTTTGACTAAACCCTAACTAAATAAGCCAGTTCCATGAAGCACAGGCCTTCCAGCTTATTCCTTGCTTCATTAACACCTTTTAATCCCAGCGATGCAATCGTACGCGCTCCAAATTACCCTTCCCAGGCCTGGGTCAGCATCCCCTGTGCTGCTGCTGCAGGTCAGAGGCTCTCATCCCGCGCTGCAACGGGGATGCTCAGCGAGGATTAAGAGACAGCCAGGCACTGGGGTGGTTTACCAGGACTGGAATCTGATAAACACAGTCCATGAAATGTCTGAAAAGAGGTGGGAAGTCCCCAAAGCAGTTTGCAGCTCCTTGGCAATACGCAGGGGTGGACGCAGAGGATGCTTCGCTGTGATGCCTCGTGCCTGGGCTCAGCGCTTAGAAACTTTATTGAACTTCCAAGGGAAAATGAACAACGTGCTGCTCTGACCAGCTGTTTGGCTGGTCTGTTATTAAAAGAAAAGCGAATTAGTGGTAAATAAAGAGTGAGGACGCTCGTTTGAAAGTGTCAGCAGAGCAAGGGAATCGAATAATGGAAAGAAACTGTTTTCCATATCGCATAACTCCTGATGCTGAGCAAGATTTCGGCTTCAAAAAGGTGCTGGGCATTGCTCGAGTGCCCAGGCATGAAAGGAGACGTAGAGCAACATCACTGGGACTTCCAGGCTGTGAATCAGTGAGCTGCATCCAGCATCCACCAGCTTCAGGAACTGGCTGCCAAAATCTGGAGCCCCAAGTCTCCCTCACGATGCTGACCTGTGAGCAGCCGTGCAGCTTTGCAATCCCCAAAGACATTCAGGCTCATAAACCCATCCGCCTCCCAGCTCCGGATGGTTTTTCCATCAAGGTGAGCCTTTCCCCAGCAGGAAAATCCAATCTTATCTTTTGCAAAGGTAAAATTAATCTGAGGTAAGCAGGTGAGGATGTGGGATGTGTGTCTGTATGCATACTGCGAATGCTGTGTGCAGGCACGTGCCTCTGCTTGCTGGATGCTTTCTGAACATCCCCAGGAATAAAAATTGACAGCGTTATCACAGCTCCAGTAAGAAACCTTATCAGGCACAGCTTCTCGAGGAAACGGGGGTGTTGAGGACCTGGGAATGTGGAAACCCAGCCAAAAAGTGGGGTCAGCAGGGGCGTTTTAGGACAAACACAGACACACGGACCGCGAGGCTGAGACTGCACAAGGGTCCTCCCGGAAAGCAGGATGAGGCAGCAGCGAGCCACGAGCCCTCGGAAGGGCTCCTGCTGCTGCTCCCTCTCCTCGCAGACATCCTGCTCGTGTCGCTGCTGCTCCTCAACGCGCTTTTCATGACGAACCCAGGAACCCGCTTCGGTTTTGGACCATCCCTCGGCGTGGTTTCTCCAGGCAGCCGCTCCCAGACGTCGGGCAGCCGCGTTCGCCGCTCAGCCTCCCCAGCCTCCTCGGAACCCACTGCCAGCCACGGAGATGTGTTTTGTTCCTATGGCAACCTAAACAATATTACCTTGACTTAAACGGATTCAGGCAATATTAAAACCAGCCTCTTTAGGAATTCCTGGTGTTGGAGGGGCTGAGAATTTTAATTTTGTGTAATGCGAGCTGACACCGTGTTTATGAGCTGCTTGCTGAATGTTTTCTTCAATTAGTACAAAGCAGAGTGGATTTGTTTTCGGGGCTTAGCTGGGAGATGGAGTGTGCGAGCCTCGCAGTGCCAAAAGCATTATTGAGTTACGCTGCAGTAACGGCACTTCCCTCACCTGGTAGCTGCACAAAAAAAAAAAAAAAAAAACCCTTTTCGGGGAAATCTGGCACATGACAAGATCTTCACATGAGGCTTGCTAACTGCCTGGTCCCGACAGCGGCGGGGGGAATGGGTTCGTTGCCTTGCGGGGGAATGGGTCTTCCTTTCCCAGCCCCAACTTCTGTACCTCCATCTCCTTGCTCTGCTCCACACATCCCACCGCACCCAGGTTCAAAGCTTTCCTTTATTTGCTGTTTCTGGGCAAGTTTTCTGGACATTTTGCCCAAGCAACCAGCAATGTCACCAAGGGTGGAGATACGAACGGCCCCAGGAGTGCTGGGCACCTAACTGGGTACAAATAATTGAGGAAACACAAGCGTGGATCCATACAGAGAGTTTTCCATCGGTGTCTTCCCAAAATCTCCCCTTCCTTGCTTGGAGGCAGGCCAAGATGTTGAAGCAAAGCTTTGATTTGATGGGCCTGTGGTCTTACCACCTCCCCTCTCTGGATTTGGGGCTCTTGGGCTGAACCTGGGCTTCCTACAGGACCCCACATCGCTGGCAGATCCTCCTCCACCTGCGGCTGGCTGGTGCCACGGCCAGCAGGCAGGATCGAGGTGGGAACCCCTGGGTGAGAACACAGCAGGCAAGGGCTCCGGCTACACGATCGTTACGCTCCAGCCGGGCTTGAAGTCCAGGAACATTAATAACTGAATGGTTGGTCGCATGTCACTTGTTCCTGACCAGTCCCAGAAAGCCACGACTGCAGATTGGCTCTCTTGATGGGTTGGGTTGGTTCTTTGTTGAGTTGTGTTTGTTTTGTTTTTTTTTTTTCCTTTCTTTTTTTCCTTCTTCTTTTTTTTTTTCTTCTTTCGATTTACTCTTTCACTTCTGTTGTTACAGAAGGATGTCGGTGTTAGGAAAGGGACAGGTTTGAATTCAGCCCAGATTTGGGCTGGGCTTGTGCCTGGAACACGCTCCCAGCTTGCTCCTTCTGTAAGACACTGAGGTTATGGCTAAAAGGCTGCTCTTTACTCCCCGCAATTCGTCCCAAATTCAGTTATTATTTTTCAAGTGTGAATTACGGAAAGACAAAGAGGAAAGGGAGAGAGGGAGAGGGAGAGGCAAGGCGAGGAACATGCGTGCAAACGCACTCACACAAAGGAGAGAGAAATCCCACACCATTCCAGTTGGAATGTCCCAGACACCGCAGCCGAAAGCCACCGCACAGCACAAATCCATGGTGGTATTTGGAAGGGATGAGCCCACCCCTGTAAGCCTCTTCATCCTGCTCCACAGAGTTTGCCAGGAGGATTAACCTAGTCTTGTTCTCAATCCCAGTTTATGAGTTCCCTGCTGGTGGGGAAGATCCTGTGTGTTTAAACAACAGCCTAATTAATCCCTATTTTATTACTTTCTCTTGTCAAGTGGCTAAATAGAAGCTGTCAGCCGGCAGCCACCGCCGCTCACATTTGTTTAGATCCCAAATTACTTCATCAGAACCATCTGCTCGGTGTGCGGGGCGCTCGCAGTTGTTTATTCCTCTCTCTGGACATGGAGTGGGGCACAAACACCTCCCGGTGGGACTCCCCACGCCAGGCTCTGCCAAGCCCTGGGGACTGTCCCGGGGGGGGTCCACAGTGAAATCTGCCATGAACCTGGTGAAGCCAGGCAGCCAGCAGCCCTGGAGAGGAAAAGGGGACACCCAGCTCTGTCTTGATGGGCCACGCACGTTTGAGCTCCTCCCTGGGGTTATAGGTGGTCAGGAAGCCCCCAAGAAGGACACTTTTTGGTGGATGTGTGGAGCCCACCCGCTTCCTTCCTTGGTTCCTGAGCCCCTCAGGGATGGAAGGATTTGGGTGTTTTCACCCTGGAGAAGAGCAGGCTCGGGGGGACCTCATCACGGTGTTCTGGTACTTGAAGGTGGCTACGAAGTGGATGACAGCTCTCTCTCCACGAGGAGCCACGTGGAGAAGACAAAAAGCCATGGGTACAAGCTATACTGGGGCAGGCTTCATCTTAATGCAGGAAGAAAATGGTTTACAGCGAGAACAATCCCTGGAGGAACCTCCCCAGGGGGGTGGTGGAGTCCCCATCACCGGAGGATTTCAAGGTGCAGTTGGGCAGGGTAATCTCATCCAGGCTCCCTTTTCCCACCAAAAGCTTGGATCTAGGTGAGCTTTTGGGGTCCCTCACACCCCGGGGTTATTCTGTGGTTATGTGATTCTGCCCCAGCAGCCCCGTGTGAGTGCCTAACCCCAGGACCTTCCCCGCAGGCTGTTCCAGACCAAGTGCAGCAGCTGCCTGAAGGCCATCGCCCCGTCCGAGCTCATCATGAGGGTGCTGGAGAACGTCTACCACATCCACTGCTTCTACTGCTGCGAGTGCGAGCGGCGCCTGCAGCGGGGGGACGAGTTTGTGCTCAAGGAGGGGCAGCTGCTGTGCCGCAGCGACTACGAGAAGGAGAAGGAGATGCTGAGCGCTATCAGCCCCGCTCCCACCGAGTCTGGTGAGGGGCTGGAGCAGCACCGAGGGTGGGGAGCGGGGCAGGCAGGGTGGGTTTGTAGGGGACGGTGGTTTTTGGAAGGGGTGAGCTCATCCCTGTGAGCTCTTCGTTCTGCTGCCAGTCCTTAATTAACTCCAAGGGAGGCTCCAGAGGAGGAGGAGGTGGGTGGAGGTTGTGGCGCCTTGTCCCCTCGGTGAGGGCAGAGGGGCAGCCCAGGGGGTACCTCGATCTATTTGGTGTGTCTGGAGAGGGTTGGCTGGGCTGATTTGAGACATTTTGGGATGGAAGGTGCGGGGCCAGGCAAAACTGACCGTTTCTCTGAATCCTTGCCCTGGGAGATGGCCTGGAAAGGCCGCTCTCTGCTGAGCCACGGCTCCCGACCTTCCCTTGCAGTGAAAAGCGAGGACGAAGACGGCAGCCACTCGCACGGCAAGGGCGGCGAGGAGAGCAAAGACCACAAGCGCTCCAAGCGCCCGCGCACCATCCTCACCACGCAGCAGCGGCGGGCCTTCAAGGCCTCCTTCGAGGTTTCCTCCAAGCCTTGCAGGAAGGTATGACAGGGCCGTTACACGGTTGCAGGCCTGGACACTTTTAAGCGTAATTAATTTCTGATTCTGCTCTCCTTTCCTTCGTTTTGCGGACAGGTGAGGGAGACTCTGGCAGCTGAGACGGGCCTGACCGTGCGGGTGGTGCAGGTCTGGTTCCAGAACCAAAGAGCCAAGGTGAGCAATGGTCCCTGCCCCACAGCTGTGTTCCCGACACGCCTGGGATATCACACACTCATCCAATTCAAAGGAAACACAGAACAGCTTAGGAAAAGAGAAAACTGGTCAGAACAGAACAGCTACACGGGACCAAACCACGGGTCCACCTCGTTGTGCAACGGGGATCTAATAATAGCAAAAGCCTGGAGAGGAATGTAAGAAACCTATAGACATTTGCAAAGCTTAAATGTTCTCCCTTTTGTTTTTTTATTATTCTTTTGCTACATGCTACTTTCCCCCCTCACGGTGAGATTGGGAAGACTGGAAGGATTTCCCACTTCTTCCCTCCAGAAGTTGCAGGGAAAACCTTTCCAGTGGTGCAGAATGCACAGGGTGAAAGCAGAACCTGACCTTGCGGTAAACCCAAGCCCTTTGCTTTTTAAATTGTGCGTGGCATCTCCCGGAAAGATCCTACAGCCTCTCCTGCCAGCCCCGCTGCTCACAGGGCTTGTCTTGGCTGGGTATAGAGGATGGTGGCTGCAGGGGAGTCACCCCGAGCAGCCTGGCAGGGATATACCATGGCAATGCTCGGTGGCGACGAAAGGCAGGTGGCAGTCATCTGCTGCCTCTCCCCCCTGCTCAGAGCCTCAAATCTGGGGTCTCGGTCTCCTTGCAGATGAAGAAGATCGCTCGCAGGCAGCAGCAGCAGCAGCAGCAACAGCAGGAGCAAGACCAGCTGGGCAACCCTCGCCTGGGGAGCGGGAGGGGGACCGGCCGCAACAGCAGGCAGAGCAACGACGACAGCGAAGGTGAGGAGCTGGGGGGCACGTCCACAGCGCTGGGGGCTGCAGGCTGGGGCGGGGGGATCGGCTCGAACAGATCGGAGAGGGAATGCACACGAGGATTAAGGCAGGTTGTGGCTGAGTTGGTGTGCAAGTTGTCGGTGACCCCAACGGTGGAATGGTGCTGGGAAATGCTCGGCAGGACTCAGGGGTACTCATGATACAGCATGCCTGTCCTCTTTCTGGGAAGAGGATCCTTTTTATAACCTTGCGTGGATGTTTATAACCTCGCATCCGTGTTGCGGGGATGCCCTGAGCCTCGTGCAGTGCTGACCCCACTTGGGGTCACGTTTTTGTACCCAAGCTGCGCGCCCCTTCTCCAACCCATCCCACTGCTTGTGTCTTTAGACGGTGCAAGCGTTCACGGCCTGGACGGGCTGATGGTTCCCTATCCTCGCATCCCCCAGCAGCAGCTGCTGCCCCTGGATCAGAACGGCTACAGCACAGACTTGTACAGACAAGGGCTCACACCGCCCCAGCTGCCAGGAGACCATCTGCACCCTTACGGTAGGAGAGCGCCGGGGAGCTTGCACCGAAGCCGTGTCCCTGCACCAAAGCTGCCCAAGCCACGAATCCAACCCTGCCAATGGTCCACGGGACTTGGACGTAGCTCAGAGGAAGTTTGGCGAGGCCACAGCCTCGGGCTGAGCTCTGCTGGGGTCTGGGGAGCGAGCCTGGGGTCTTCTCTCCAAGGAGAGACGTTTGGGTGAGGGAGGGAAGAGCCATGCCCGGTGCTGGTCCCAGTGTGGGGTCCCCTCGTGCTCACGGTGGTTTATCTTTGTGATGCAGCCACACACCAGCTCCCCCTGTGGAATATGCCCGTGCCATGTCCCCACTTATCTCCCTCTCTTTCCTCTTCCAGACTCAGAAGGAGTTTTCCACGACATGGACAGCGACAGCATCAGCCACCTGGGAGACTGCCTGCTGTCCACGGCTGAGGCCAACCTCCTCCAGGCCCGCGTGGGCAACCCCATCGACCGACTCTACTCCATGCAGAGCTCCTACTTCACCTCCTGACCATAGAAAAGCTCCCGGCTCTTCGCGAGGATCTCGGGTGGATGCTGCTCCAAATTCAGAAGTGGGGGTGAGGGAGGAGAACCCAGACTGAGACCGTCAGAGACATTCCTCGAGCACTGCACAGCGGAGGAGGCAGCTGAGGCTGCCACACACGAGCACCAACCCACGGGGACCTTTCACAGCCTGAAGGACTTTGGATTGCCTCTCTCCCTTTTTTTCTAGCCACGAGTAGATCAATGGTATGATGTTGTTTAGCTGTACCTTTAGCAGTTTGTCCAGTGTTTAAGCTTTTGAGCGTTATGTCCTTCAAACAAAGACTGGCCAAGCTAACCAGGGCGGCCCCCCGAAGTAGCAGGTGCCCTTCCCACACAAACTCTGTTTATTTAAGCCCTGGTGGCAGCCGAGCTGCCCGCCGGGCTGTTTTGCCTCATTTCCCAGCCTATGGGACAAGGTTAATTTTCAACAGCAAAAGCCAAGGTCCTGAGGCATCTCTAAGGGATGCCACTGCTGCTTCAGAGATTCTCTTCGTGGCTGTCGACGGGTTGGCACGGTGCGGTTTTTTAATGGTTGACATTTCAGAAATGCATGACAGCCTGGCCCTGGAATGAAACGGCTGCGCTCGGGTGTCTGCTTCAAGAAACGGGAGTACTCGTGCTCTGTCATGCTGAAGGATGCCAAGAGAAGTGTAACACATCCACAGCGAGCTTTCTGTTGCCTTTACGTCTGTCTTTCTTCCTCTAAAGGGGCACTTCTACTCCCTTTATGGGCGGAACAAAGACTTCTCTTCTGTTTGTTTCCTTTTTAAAACAGCAAAGCGAAATGGATTTACTCTAAAAATATTCCTGCTAGAAAGCCCCTTCTCTATAGCAGGATTTCCCACTCTGGCTCCTCTTTCAGGCATCCTAACGCCCTGCTTCCCTCCGACAAGAAAGAAATTGCGTTGCATTATCTCACTTACCTCCAGCAGGCTACATCTGGTTGTTGCTTTGAGGACGGTGACAGCAGGACTCAGTCAAGAAAAAAGCGTTTCTGCTGTGGATAGCAAGCAGAAATCCATTTTCTCCCATTTTTTCTCATGAAAGAATCCATTTCTTTCACCCTCCTGCATGAGGCAGGTTAGAGTTATGAGAAGCCAACGGGTGCCGATGTGAACAGCCACAAAAACTAAAATGGGCAAGAAAGAGAGAGCAGAGATTGGGAGCCTGAATTATGACCAAAGGGAAACCCTTCGGTCTCCTGCCCAGGACCCAAATCTGGGGTTTGGTTCTTTGTATTTATGAAGGACAGCCAGAATTCCTCGAAAGGTCAGGTTTCCCCAAGAGCGTGCCAGCTGAAGGGACAAGGTCCTTCAGACCCAACCTTCCCACGTCTGTTTGAACACTAAGTGGCAGACAACCCCAGAAGGAAACGCCGACTTCTTTTCGCATCTCGATCTCCAGGGTTGTGAGCCTAAAAAACGCAACCTGAGAACCTGGCTGGCTGCTGTTTCTGTATGTGGTGTTTTACTTCTGCGCCTCCACAGGCTTGCCGGTCTGATTGTAAAGGTGTGTATCCTCTCCAATAAGAAAAAAAAAAAAAAAAAAGGAAAAAAAAAAAAGGCTAATTATTGTTGTCTGTGGTTGTGGAGGAAGATACCCAGGAACTATATAATCCTGGCTTTGGGAACGAAAGGAGATGCAGTCCTGATGCATTTTGCTTCTTGTCAGGAATTTTTCACCTTCTCAAGACTACTTAGAGAGAACATAAAGGACATAAAGGTGCTGTGGAACAGAACCGCAGCCCTACAAAGCTCACTCCAGCATTGCTTCACCTTTAATAAAGCTGTGTGAATGTGACACGTCCCGTTGTGTTTGCAGTGCCAGATTCTGTAGCTGGACTCTCCTTTGCTCTCACCCTCAGCCTGTGTACATAGTTTACAGACACTCTGGCATTTCTTTTCAGGAGGGAAGGGGGAGCCTTGTGCAGAAACAGACATTTCTGACGTATGTTTGCCCACAAAGACAAGTTCTAGACCCAGCTACTGCAGCTGGTTGGCTTCCACCTTTGTTGTGTGGTCAGCCACCCGTAAGAAATGACGCTGAAAAACTCCTGAAGCTGTACGGTTCTTTTTGCACAAAGACGGTCTCAGTTTAGATTAAGTTTTCAGAGAATGTTATAGTGAACTCTGTGCAAATTGGTGTTTCTCCCGGACGCTGGAGCCAGCTTCACCCACTGAAACCCTCCCTTCTCTTCGTTGTGATCTCGTGCTGTGATGTGCCGATGGTTTAATTTTTTTATTTTATTTTATTTTTTTTTTTGCATGTACCTTTGAAAATAAAAAGCAAACTGTAAGTGGAAACCCGAAGCTTGCCTCAGCACAGTCAGACAACCCCAGGGAAGGGCTCCTCGGACAGCCCAGCCCTTCCCTTCCCTAGGAGCGAGGTATTCTGGAGCAGCTGAGGAACTCGTGCTGGCAGCTCTCCACCTCCCCATGCAGCTGCACGAGGAGCTAGGATCCCAACGAGAATAAATAAATACGGTGAGCTGCTGCGAGGAGCTGTGCTAGACCCGGAGCTGCTGAGAAAAGGAGTCTGATGATGATGAGAGATCCAGTGCCAAAGCCACTTCAGAGCTATACCCTCTAGAAACGAGCAGCTGTTAGCGTGCAGGCGCTCTCCAGGGCTGGATTCTGCCTGAAAGGAGCAGAGGGAAAGCAGAAAGGTGGGCGCCAGGTCCACAGCTGGTGCTGTCCATGCCTGGGGAGCTAACGAGCTTGCCAAGCGATGCCTCTCCTGGCACCAGTCCGAAGGACGGGGCTGGTTTTAGCATCACCAGCATGGCCAGGGGTCAGTTTGCCTTCTGCACCTCGGGGGTAACAGCGTGCACCCCAAAACCCCATGGATGTCAGGGAGCTAAGTCTCACGGCTATCACAGGACCTGGAAATTATTCCAGGAGAAGGATCCGGCTGCTTGGCAGCAGAGTGAAGAACGGAGCCACAGCATGCTGAAACACCTGGACGCCCTCTCTTTCCCCTCTAGAAAGAATAAAGGTGAATAAAAGCGAATCAAGGTGACCACCGGATGAAAAACGTTCCCCCTCTGCCCACCCAATTCAAAACCAACTCAAAAACCAACTGGACAACAGCCAAGCAAAGCAAAACGTGTGTGCGGATGGAATGTGGCTCTGCACAGCTCCCTGCCCTCGGCTGCTGCCCATTTCAGCCCTGGCCCTGCCAGCAGCACTAAATCTCTCTCCCGGTGACTGCAAACACCAAAGGAACACGCTGATTTATGGCTCCTTTAAGTAAGAGAAGCAGAGTGTAAAACGAGAATATTTTCTGGATGAAAAATTAAAGAGATGTTTTTGTTAGTTCCTCATTCTAGGATCGTGTGTAATTTACCTTATTGGTTTTCGAGTTCCACTTGAAAGGAAAAGTGACATCAACAGGAGTTAAAGCAACAGGCTGAAAAAAGCCCTGACACACTTAACTTTGTACGCTGAGATCTAAACCAGAAAGAAATTGAGCAAAAATAAAGGAAAGAATGAACTCACGATTCTTAGCTTCCCCTTAGCTAAGGACCTCAGAACTCCTTGCATATATTAATTAATGATCCCTCACTACTCCCCAGCCAGGTAGGTGTTATTTATTTTAAAGGTGAGTAATCAGAGGCACAGAACATGTCATGATTGGCATCCAAGGCCCCACGGAAAGACGGAGGGTAAGTGAAAACAGAGCTGACAGCCAGGTTGCTTCAACTACCAGCCAAAACGCACATCTGCCTGAAAACAAGCGTTGAGAGCAACTAAAATTGGAGAAAGCACAGGACCAGGAGACCGAGCGAGAACGGAAAAGCTCATGCCAGAAGTCACAGGACTAGAGACACAAGGACTTGGTGAACGATGGAGCGTTTGCCCTCAAAAGTTTGACACTGCCTTCCCGGTCCTCAGGCATCTCAGAGCTTGGTCCTCTGGGTTCTTCTCCTCGCTGTTGCAGTGGTTTGATGTTTATTTTGGCTATTCTGTGTTCGTGAGGATGCGAGAGGTTCAATCTAGAAAAATCCTGGTCTAAATCTTTTTTTTTTTCTTTTTTCTTTTTTTTCCCCCCCCCCCTAAGCCTCCCACTCTGGGTAAGACGGGCTTATTCACTTATTGATTTCAGCCACTCGGCGTTAATTTAGCCGAGTCTTTGCAGCCTTTGGAGATAAAGCTGAACCGACCAGCTTGATTGACTGCCTGAGGTCTTCTTCCCCTTGCTCGCCTTTATGTCAGTGTCTGTCCTACCTGTAACTGCTTCCTGCGCTCGTTTCCGCAGCCCTGGCCTAACCAAACCCAGTGGTGTGAGGTGCTGTCATCTTCCTGCAGTACAGGAACAAAAAAAAAACACTTCCCGGGTCCCCAATTCTTGTTCCAGGTTTTTCAGACCTCTCCCTCGGCAATTTGCACCTTGGGAAAGAGAACGGAGCAACCGATGCTCCTTTTAGGAAGTGTTTGCATGGCTGCGTTTCCAATGACAGGACTAGAAAACTGGATTTGGAAGAGCTTTTTCCTACACTTCCAGGGACTTGCCCTCTGCATCTGGCTTTGCCCTATTTCCAGCCTCTATCACGCACCCACAGCCCTTCCCTCGCATTTGCCAACTCCAACAACTGCAGTAATTGCTGTTCCATTTTTATTCCAGCAGCCAGCAAGAACAGGTAGCCCCTGCAGTTAGAAAAAGAGCTGCAAAACTCCTGCTCCGTGCTTAGGAGAGGGCCTAGATTCAGCCTGCTCCAGCACGCAGCTACAGATTCCCTTCAGGCTCAGAAGCGAAACACTCCTCGGCTTCTTCCAGCCGTTTTCTGGCACAGCCACTTGCAGGGAAGAAAACTGCTGATATTCCCTTTGCTTTTCGCAACCTTTGCCAAATTTGCCAAGGCTACAAATTGATTCAGCCTAGGAACTCTTCCCAGGGTGCTGGTAAATTGAAGAAAACACCAATTTCAAACCACAGCCCCCACCCCAAGACCTCCCTCCACGGGGAGGTTCTGTCCCAGTTCTCCGTTAGGTGACATTTGGGTAGCGAAAGCTGCACGAGGACAGTTCTTTATTCAGAGTAAAACTTGCAGCTGCCTCCCCAGTTTGTTCTCAGAAAGCCTTTATCTCCTCGATTGCACGCAGAAGCAGGATGGAGCAGCATCTTCCTCTGCCCCCTCTCCCTAGGAACGAATTTACTGAACCTCGCGAGCGTTTGGCTGCTCGATGGCAGCGGCAGCTCAGCGGTTAACGCGCCCGAGCAAGTAATAATAGAGCAGCTCAGGCTCCTGAGAAGGAGGAGACATACCCGGGCTTAAGAGGGGGCCCACTGCACCTTAAACATAATGAAAAATGGCTTTTCTGCTGACAGGCTGACATTTCAATACAATGTCAACAACATGTAAAGCACCTTCGCTCCCGTCTAACGGCACCCTTAATAAAGCCATTCACGCCACAGACATTTCTGACTAATAGGGTCCTGCCCAGAACAAATAAATTTCCAAAAGATTTCTCCTCCTTTTCTGGTAGCACTTGCCTCCTCTAAATTCACTTTGAAGCGAAGCCACCGTCACCTTTTTCTCTCAGCTTTTCCACCAGGAAATAAAACATGCTTTATCTTTACTTTTCTTTTTTTTTCTTTTTTTCCTACATTTGTGGCATTTGATAAAAGGAAACAAAGTGGGTTTTGCATACACGTTGTTAGACACAGACCCAGCATCCAGACACACTTTGAATCCCATCACTGCTGAATTGCAGCCACGCCGACGGCCAGCTTCAGTGAGTCAGGCTCCGCTAGAAGCTGGAACAGATCAACTTCAATCTGCTGCCCCTCTCCCCAAAGGAGTTAAACTCTGCCCAACTGGAAAATGCTAAGTGATGTTTGCCAAACACCACAGGCTCAAAGGCAAAAGCTTGGACTTGTGCCTGGCTGAAGCACGGCTAAGGATTAATGTGTCCCAGGAAGGGGGTAAGAACCCCTGGGAACCAGGTCAAAGCCAAGGTTCCTGCTCCACGCCTCACCCTTACGGGGGACAAAAACCTCACGCTGAAAACACAGCAAAGCTGTGCCGTGCTTTCAAAGACTGCTGGTGCTGTACATGACACTTTCTGCATGTGCTCTGCTGGCTGCAGACTTCGGGAAATTGTTGGTTTGTGGTTCCCTGTAACTTTTCTGGAAGCTGCTACTCTGGACAGCAGCAAAGCTCTCGCTGTGAAGCTCAGCAGACGTTGTGTTGTGTAAGCAGGCCGTAGCAGCTTGTTTCTCCTTGTAGCTGGCCTGCGAGTATCCCAAAGGACTTTCTAAACCTCAGAGACCCACTTTTTGCTGGGGGAAGGGTTCTCAGTCCCACCTTACACACTGCAGACCCACAGCAGTTTTCAGCCACCAGCATGCTGGAGGAGAGCCACAGCTTGCGGTGCCTCTGCAGAGTGCTCACAGGTCTCACGAGCCCTGGCTCTTAATTAATTCCCTGTAAAACCAGCTATTTTTATATCGTGGTATATTTTTCCCCCCAGAAACCACCTTTCCTTCTAGCTGGGCTCTTTGTCCCCCTGTGTGAGAACACCAGTGGTGGCCCCTCCTTGCACTGAAAAATCATTGTGCCGTCGATAGAGCAGTGGGGTTTGAGGAAAGCTCTCGAGTCCACGCTTATTCTGCCGTCTCTGCTGGCAGGAAGACTCCCTCTGCTGTTCTAAAACAGCAGAAGAGCTAGGGAACCCCCAAAACTGGGAGCTGCACAGCAAATTTTCAAGCAGGGACCTTTGTGGTCAAGGCAATGTCACCGGAGGCAGTCCAGCTCTGAGGGCAGCTTCCATCATCAGGGGGAAAAGCCAGAACTGGCCTTTGATCTTCAGGAGTGACTTTTATTGGGACGAAGGAAAATACTGTACTTAATTATCAAAGAAATTGTTGAATACAGACTGCAGAAAAAAAAAAGAGGTAAAGGCTGATTTTAGCTTTTGGTTCCTATTCAAGTACATCTGCAGGTTGCTCGCTGATCCTTTGGTGTTCAACACAGCTCTGTAATTTCTTAATTATTTTTTTTTTTACTTACAAAGCTGGTAAGGGCATGGAGCACCAGCAGAGAAAACCCAGTGTTAGCAGCACACAAGTGCCAGCAGATTGGGAACACTCTGACAGCCGTGTCAGAGTCCAGCTGGTTGTTGAAGACAAGCACCAAGAGAACCACGTCGCAGGGCTGCACTCAGAGGGGAGCAACAACCCAACTGAGCATTGGAATGAGACTCCAGAGTACAGAAAGTTTTCATTCACTCCTGAGGATGAACTTTAATTCCGAGGATCCCCTATAAAAAAAGAACAAAAAACAGCACAAATAAAAGAATCAGGTATGCAACACCCCAGTCATGAGGCAGAGTAAATTACCTTTTCAGGTGACAGGAGGATGTCACAGTAAGTCTGTTCCTATATGCTTAGTAGCAAGTTATTTGCTTTAATGTAGCTCCACAGAAATTTACAGGACCTTTATCACAGTGCTGTGTGCTGCAGCCTGACCCACCCAACAAACCCATTCATGCAAACCTGACGACCCAGTTGATTAATTGAGTTGGACCAATTAAACCAAGACTACTTTCATCCCAGGGTCTTTCACCACAGGGCAGCACCTCAGTCCAACATAAAATGACCATTTGGAGAAACACACTGCTGCACTTGCGGTCACAAACAGAGGAAATTCTTCCCCTGATGAACCATGCCAATGGGTTTAACCTTGATTTAATTTCCTGCTCTGAGTTCAGAGCAGCTGGGGTTGGAAGAGCCCTCACAGACCACCTGGCTCTGACACCACCCACTAGATCAGGTTGCTCAGGGCCTTGAGCACCTCCAGGGATGGGGCATCCACAGCCTCTTTGGGCAACCTGTTCCAGTGCTTTATGTTTTTTTGGGAGGACGCTAGGTCAGAATTAATAAGGGATGGGAGAGAAACAAAGGTGCAAGCAGAATTTAGGCTGGCCTATTGCAATGTTGCTGGGTTGGCTGATAGCAGCGTGGCCGTTCCAGATGTTTGAGTGAGAAAAACGGAGCGTGGAGCGCAAGCAGCCCCCGCAGCCCCCACTCACCTCACGCAGCCACCTTCACCTGCTCGGCGCAGCGCAGGAAGGCGGCGACGTGCTCGCTGCACTTGCCCACGGCGGCCTCGTTCTCCTGCAGGCACCTCTCGAAGGCGGCGAAGGGCTCGGCGCAGTCGCTGCGGATCCTCCTGACGATGGGGCTGCGGGGACACCCCGGCACCCTCAAGCCCCCGGCCTCCCCCTACCCCCCCCTCAGGGCCTGGCCTGGCCTAGCCTCCCCCACCCCCCTCCCACCCCCTCTCGCCCCTCACTCACTGCGCCGAGGCGCACCGGGAGATGCCGAGGCGGAGGCTGTGGCAGTCCCGCTGCCACGATGTCGGGCTGGCGGCCACGCAGCGCCCGTACTGCTCCAGCTCGCTGCGGCAGTACCGCGCCGTCACCTCCAGCGCCGCCTCCCTGCGGGGCGACACCGGAGTGAGCGCGGCGCGGCGCGGCCCTGCCCGCTGCCCCCCCTCCACCGCCCCTCTACTCACATCCCGCCAGCTTCCTCCTCACTGCGCATGCGCCGCCGCCGCTCCCTCCCTTCTGCGCATGTGCCCTCTCCTTGCACGGCCGCCAGGCTGCCAACTGCGCATGCGCCTCCTCCCCTATATAGCGCGCACTGCGCATGCGCGCCGCCTCGCGGCCCGCACCCGGAAGCGGAAGCGCGCCGTTGCTAAGGGGAAAATGGCGGCGGCCGGCCCGGCTGCGGGCCCCGCGGACGAGCTGGTCTCGTCGGTGACGCTGTACCGCCGGCGGCCGCGGCTCCTCCACGGCACCGTGCTGCCCTTCGTGGCGGGGCTCTACCCGGCCTGGCTGTGGCTGTGGGGGCCGCGGGTGTGGGCAGCGTGGGGGCAGGAGGAGGAGGAGGGGGCGGCGGAACACCGGGAAGGGCCCCGCGGCCCCCGAGGCCGCGCTGCTGACCCTGGCCGCTATCGGTGTGGTGCATCTGCTGACGGCGCTCTCGGGGCTCTGGTCGGTGCACGCGCACTGCGCGCTCACCTGTGTAAGGGTGAGTCCCCGGCGCGGTGCTGGGCGCGGGGCCGGGCCGGGAGGAGCCGCCTAAGGCCCCCAGGGGGGGATGCGGGGGGTGCGGTGGGTCGCTGTGCACCGAAACGTCGCCGTTTCGCTTGGTCCGACCCAAATCTGGGGTGATTTGAGCGTTCAGAGCACGGCTGGCTGTCTTTGTGACCGTCAGGCCCTTTGCCCTTCCGTGAGGGGCGATCCCCATGCATTCTTGGCAGTCGTTGTTGCAGCTGTGCCTCGCTGTGTGTGCTGTCTGCCAATAAAATGTTGGCTTATAATTTCTTAGCATAGTCATAAGCTGGGGACAACCCTACTGATGACACTAATTGGTGGGTTTCTGTTTTGAGGAGGGGTTATGATACCCAAAATGTCCTCGCTTGTCATGCTTTTGGTCTGCAAAAACACCTTGCTGCATGGATTTCTTTACTTTTTGTGCCTTAACATGGTCATAAATCATTTCTTCCTGTCTCTCAGAGCATTATAGTCTTCTTTATGATGTGCGTATTGTGTGTGTTTCAGGAACCTAGTCCTAAGAAAGCCACATTAGCTAAAGTTGTGCCAACCCCAAATAACGGATCTGTAGAACTAGTGCCGCTCCACAGAGACCAGGTAAGGACGTGGCCATTGCAAGCAGAACTGATACCCGTCACAGTGCCAGAAAACGGAATTTTTATGTCAAGTATGCAGACCTCTTGCCTGACATTTCTTAGCTCCTAACTTAACTTCTTGGGGAAACATCAGCTGCAGTCAGTCACAGGTGGGGATGTTGGAGATTGCACTTTATTTCCTGTTGTCTGTACCACAAGCAGAATCATACAAGAATTAGAGATGTGAGGGATTGGGAGTTCTTTCCTTTTTCAGCTGTAAAGTGAGGTTTTTGATGTGTATTCAATTGTTGTTTTTTCCTCTTTACAGGATGAGGATGGGCAGGAAGCTCTTTCCTTTGAATTTCAGAAAATCAAGTACTCGTATGAGATAAATGGCAAGAAACAGTTTCTTCCTGTAGCTTTCCCTGTGGAGCATCCCCTGTGTTATTACCAGAACGCCCGAGGCTATCAGGAAGACAAAGAGATCCGAGCAGCTGAGAAGAAATATGGCACAAACAAGTGAGTTTTCCAGGCACAGATCTGTCTTTTCAGAGTGAGAGGGGACCAAGGTATCTCGGTGTGTCAGTAACCAAGGGGTAGAACTACAATCCTGGTGCTGATTTTCAAATGCTTGCTCCTGGCGCCTCCTTTGCATGTCAAACTTATTTAAGGCCGTAGAACAGTGTCAGACCAGACTGGGGATGGAAAATAATTAGGGGTAGCAAAGTGACTGAGACAAAGTAGCTGAGAAGAGGGAGATTGTGGATACTGTGAAACACAGCCTGGACTGACACCAAGTGGCTTTGGGGTTGGGCTGTTGTCCAGAGTTGAAAACTTTTAGGTTAATACGGCTTCAATTCTTTCCCAGGGCTGAGATGGTGGTGCCAGAGTTCTTGGAACTCTTTAAAGAGAGAGCTACAGCTCCATTCTTCGTCTTTCAGGTAAAATGAGGAGACGTAAAGGGCTGTAAATACTTTGTCCTGTTACAAATTGAAAAAATTCCTTATAATCCTGGTTTGAGCATCAGAATTAGTTTTCTAAAATCAAAAGTACGTGCTGTTCTCACACCCTTAGAACGATTTTATTTGCCTGTTGTGGGAGTGAGCCTGTTTTTCCCTAATGAGTTAATACAATTAATTGCCTACCAAATTAGCTGGAAAAAAAAAAAAAACTGGAAATGGAAGGCTTTTGTTGTCTGAGTGAGATTAGAACAACATCTGCATTGTTTTTCTCCCTGCAGGTGTTCTGTGTGGGTTTGTGGTGCCTGGATGAGTACTGGTATTACAGCGTTTTCACCCTCTCCATGTTGGTTGCATTTGAAGCTTCCCTGGTCCAGCAACAAATGAGAAACATGTCAGAGATCCGAAAAATGGGCAACAAGCCATACATGATCCAGGTAATCAGAATTAGAGAAGGAATGGTCACAAACACTGGAAAATTGGTGCTTGGCAGTGAGACCAAGAGCCTAGAAATGGGAAAGATCATCACTGGCTGAGAATCTTCTTTCTAAAAGGAACAAAAGTCCAGTGTAAATGGGATAAATTCTTGCTAGTTTAGTCTGAAATTCTTCTTCTTTTCATTCCGTTAATTCTTATGGTTCTGGCTTTATTTTCTATTATATGTTCTTTCATGGTTGGGTGGTTGTTGTTTTTTTGGATTCGCTTGCTTTGCATAAAGTTCTTGACGGAGCTCTCTTTCAGCTGGCTTGCTGTTTCTTTTTCCCATCTTTCTTCACTGTCCTTTTTGACTACGCAGATGCATGCAGGGCTTCTCAAAGTGCTTTTTTTTTCCTGCAGGTTTACAGAAATCGGAAGTGGCGACCCATTTCCAGCGATGAGATTATTCCAGGGGACATCGTTTCCATTGGTAATGGCTTGCATGATGGTTGTAATCAAATTCTTGTTTAAAATCAGCTTCCTTTTGGTGCGTGAGGTTGCACAGGGAATAAAAATGTAACAGTCTTGGTTAGGTGCTCTTGGGGACTTTGGTTTTTAAGGGTCTGAGGGATTGATCCTTGGGCTGGATCTCTTGGACTTTCTGCTGTCTTGAAGAAAGGTAAACACCTAGATCAGTCAGCTGCAGGTTCCTACCTCAGCTTAGGATTGTGAAGGTGAAGAGTTCCCTTCCTCCCAGCAATATCTTCCTTGAATGGAACAGGGAAGGAAGTGCAGGTCTCTGCCTTAACCGTACATTCTTTTTGAGGTTGTATTACCTCAGGATGCGTTCCCAGTTCAATGGGAACTAAGTGACTTCATTTTGAAACTTTCCCAGCCTGAATAAAGTCCTAACCTTCAAGGCCTCTTATTTCTCAGCAATGTGGAGTCAACTGAGAGACATTATCTCTTTGGTTTGAACCTTTAACAATCTTCTTTATCTCAGCTAAACTGAAGGAGAGCTGTTCCCTCCCAGCCAAACAGCCACGCAGTAGTTATTTCTGCCTTCAAACTTCTGCGTTCTCTTGTATTAATTGCAGGCCGATCTCCTCATGAAAATCTAGTGCCATGCGATGTGCTGCTGTTACGTGGAAGGTGTATTGTAGACGAAGCTATGCTGACAGGAGAGTCCGTGCCACAGATGAAGGTCTGTGTGAAGCATCTTCTTCGTTGTCCCTTGTTGCAACCTAGAAAAGTAAAAAATATTCAAGCCACTGTAGTAGTTGTGAATGCAAATGAATCTCCTTGTGTGAATGCTCACCCAGGCAACCTGGTCTGTTTGTTATCAACTCCCTATCAGTGATTGATGTTCTCTGGTAAATGAGAAACAGAATGCCTGTTTTGTCTGGCTGTGTCTCCAGCCTTTGAGCCTGAACTGCAATGTGGGCACGGCATCGCCCTCCTACACATTCCCCCCAGTCTGGATTCTTTCGGCTGGGTAGAGGTGGGAGGAACAAGCGTAAAGCACTTCAAAACCCTGCACCTTCCTTCTTTTTGTGCCAGTGAGTGACTTAAAAATGATAAAGTAGTGCTTACAGAGCCTCCCTTGCTAAATTCACTGTGCCAAGGGTGAACTAGTCCTCTGAAACCAGAATTTCCACAGGAACCAGGCTATAAATCACAAACTGAATGACACGTTCGTGTCTAGATTCAGTTCAGGCCACCTGTGGCTGAAGTGAAGCTGAGAACATCTCATGTGAGATAAAAGAAAGTAATGCTTGAAGATTACTTTAGATAGCTGTGAATCTGAGATCTACCTGTTGTCCTGCAGGAACCTGTAGAGGATCTCAATCCAGAGCACGTCTTGGACATGCAGACAGATGCCCGGTTACACATCATATTTGGGGGAACAAAGGTGGTGCAGCACATCCCGCCCCAGAAAGCCAGCACAGGACTGAAACGTATGTACCTGCACAAATTGCCTCCAAGAGTATGCTCACAGGTTTATTTCATGTGGCTTGGTGCAACTTTTGAAGGTGGTTATTGAGTTAAGTCTCCTTGGCCCTGCTTCCTGTGATTCTTAGACTGGTTTTCAAGTTGACTGTATCCCCTTGTAAATGAGAGAAGGGTGTAGTTTCAAGTGTATTCTTTCTGAGATAAACCTTTAAAAGTTTTGCAGTAAACTTACTGTCTTCATTCCTGCTGCTGTTCCAGCTGTCGATAATGGATGCGTGGCATATGCTCTGAGGACAGGCTTCAACACATCTCAGGTAAGATGTGAATGTGCCTTCTCGCCTCTGCCTTGTCAGTGATGCTGATTCTGTGTTTAGTGCTTTGCTATAAGGAAATCCTCACGAAATACAGCAGCGGAAAATATAAATCAGGGCATCAAAACTGCTTGTTTGGTTGGAAGAGGGATAAATAAAGTTGGTCTCTGGCACTCTGTTCTGTGTGCGCCAAATAAGCTGTCTGATGTTTGATGCAGAAGCCTGGGAGTCAGCATTCAGGGCTGGTCTTGTGACTGGTAACATTATGTGTACATGCTTAGCTCCTGGTTATCCCTGTTTGTGTAATAATATGTCAGGAAGGGGTAACTGGGGTGTGTTTGCAGAGGCTAGAGATGTGAA